GGGGGAACGGGATGAAACAGAACTAGAACAGAAAGAAGTGAAGAGGGTGATAGCAGGATTAAAGGGGGGGGGAAGCGATAGGAAGGGACGGGATTCCAAACGAGGTGTGGAAATACGGAGGGGCTGACTTAGAAGAATAGGTATGGGAGTTATGTAAGAGGATATGGGACGGAGAAGGGTGGCCGGAAGAATGGAAGGAGGGTACCATAGTACCAATAGTCAAGAAGGGGAGAGGAAGCAAAGGACTATAGAGAAATAACCCTAATGCCGTCACTTGCGACGACTTTTCCTGCCGTCTCGCGGCTGTGCGATAAACGCGGCCGCCGACTCGTTCTCTCCGTCGCGCGGGTGTAAATTGCGGCGACGAACAGGAGCTAATTCGCCGAACGGGAGATGCGGAATGGTCGTTGACAAAAACGGGAAAACGGAGGAAAAGATCCACGCGCCAGGTGGGAACGGGGTGTTAGGAGTTCCGCGCGTACCGTGACGAGATCCGAGAGATAATCGCGAGAATCAAACTTGGGCGCCAGATACTATCTTTCACGTATCAATTCGCGAAACACGAAATAAGCGCAAAATAAACGCGAAAGAAATTTGTCGGAATTCGCCACGGGCTGACTAGCTCGCCTAACGGTAGAGGGGCAGGGCGAGTGTTGATCGAACGCGATAATTTATGCAAGAGGCGACAATTACGGAAGCGACAAGCACAACTGAAAGGAAACTCGTAAATTAAACAGAGAAATTAACAGATTTATTATAATAGCGGGAGCCGCAGCTCCTCGAGAATAGTAATGATAAACCGCGCGGATATACGGCTGCGGTAAAAGAAACGCGGCTGCGAGACTGGGTGTTAGACGCGGGGCGCGAAACCCCGTACTGCGTACGCCGAGACCGACCTGTTAGATCGGCCGGAATCTCCGCTCGGCTTGGATTACGCCTCGCACTGCGAAGAAATTGATTATTACGTTCGTCTATAATTCGGGCGTAAGTCCGAATCAATTCTCGATATCACCTCGCCAACGGCGACCTTATCGCCCGCTATTACCGCTAAATTATTAATACGCAACTTAAGATTAACAGGCAATTAATACAACGCGGACATGCTTCGATTTCGGACGGACATGTTACGCAGAATCGAATGCTCGGCACACACGCACGCAATTCATGCAAGAATCGCTAGGAAACTCACAAAACGCGCTCACAATTTCGAAACGCGGTGCTTTACAACCGATATAATACGTCGAATTTACGCGATTCACACTCTCACGCAACCCGTACAATAATCGTGGAGGGAAGTTGTACCGGACGTGCACGCAAAGTTTAGACGCAAAGATTCACAAACGAACGACAAAAGTAATATAACAAATTTACGCGAATCACACTCACACTTAAACGACCGACATACAGTACGAATGAGACTTAAACGCTAGACGTGCGAGAACCAACGCAAATATAATCTACGGAATCCGAATCTCCAGAGAGACGACACACGGTTTATTAAAAACGCGAGGTAATGTCTCGATCCGCGGAAACCGATACTTTCGAGGCTCCGGGGCTCGAATCGCTTGACGACGTGGCCGTGACGCGAAAATCTACACCAAAGAATCGGGCTTAGCCCGTACACCAAAGTACGAATTCACGGCGATGACGACAGAACGAAATGATTCCGGGCGCGATGGCGAGTGGCGAATATGGCGGAGGATAACCTCGCCGGTACTTTTCCTCTCGTGGTGGTTACACGGGGTCAGCGACGTTGACGTCCTCTCCCTCGGGTCCGTCCTTTCGCAGCTGCCGATCGCCGGGATCCTCTCCGCTCGCTCTCGTCTCGCTATCGCTCTCGTATTTTCTCTCGCCAAAACGGTCCTCTCGCTTACGCTTCTATCTCGCACGCAAGCTCGCGCCAGTCTCTTTCTGGATCGTCGCGATCCAGAATCGATACCTGTGGGCCAGCCGGGGCTGCGCACACGGGGTGCGTATTATCGCGGCCAATCACGCGTTACCACGCGCTGTGGCCGGCGGGCGGCGCGCTCACGGTCGTAACGGGTGTGCGCGCGCCCCCGGTAATTCGAACAATAATTCGCTGGGGCCCTTTCCGCGGGGCCGTCGCGAGGTCTAGGGCGAACGGCTTGGCCGGAAGTATCGCTGCCACCTCTCTTTTCGTCTTTTCCGGAGTCGTGTCATGCCATCGGGTGCAGGATTGCAGTCCCTCCGCGGGGACCGGATCCGCACCGGCCTGAGTCCTTGCGCGAGGATTTTCTCGCTGTCCCGTGCGTCGCGCATCACGTGTGCGGGTCCTGATCCTGTCGTGACGTAGCCAGACGTTAGATGCTTTGAATTCCCGGATTGCTGGCTCCTTGCCCCTCGGCGGTCATCCTTGATCGCCGATTGTATTTTCCGTGATGTTTCAGCGACTCTCCGCTCTTTCTTCCGATGAAAATGTCCTCCCGCTCACAGATAGTCCGCCCTTGGAGATCGCCGGGGTCCTCTCCGTTCGTGGCCGCAATCGCTCTCGCTTGCTCTCGCCTTTCAAGATCGCTTCTATATCAAAATCGCTGTTCCGCACGCGAGCTCACGCCAGTCTGATCCCGGATCGTCGCGATCCAGGATCGATACCTGTGGGTCAACCGGGGCTGCGCACACGGGGTGCGTATTATCGCGACCAATCACGCGGTATCACGCGTTGTGGCCGGCGGGCGGCGCGCTCACGGTCGTAACGGGGGTGCGCGCGCCCCCGGTAATTCGAACAGTAATTTGCTGGGGCCCTTTCCGCGGGGCCGTCGCGAGGTCTAGGGCGAATGGCTTGGCCGGAAGTATCACTGCCACCCCTCTTTTCGTCTTTTCCGGGGCCGTGTCACGCCATCGGGTGCAGGATTGCAGTCCCTCCGCGGGGACCGGATCCGCACCGGCCTGAGTCCTTGCGCGAGGATTTTCTCGCTGTCCCGTGCGTCGCGCATCACGTGTGCGGGTCCTGATCCTGTCGTGACGTAGCCAGACGTTAGATGCTTTGAATTCCCGGATTGCTGGCTCCTTGCCCCTCGGCGGTCATCCTTGATCGCCGATTGTATTTTCCGTGATGTTTCAGCGACTCTCCGCTCTTTCTTCCGATGAAACTCCCAACTCAAATCATCATACAAAAAGAAATAATAAACGGAATTAATCTTAAGCTCGAAATCTCAATTAATGACGCCTCTCTGGAGGTAACGGTGCGGTTCTCGCAATTATTCGACTTGCGCGGTTCTTTAGCCCGCGCTTTCTCGATCGGAGAGGGACTCGGCGGACGCGCGCGAGACGGCAACGTCACAATATATATAGTCACTGGGATCATCTTGATTTTAATAAAATAATATTAATAAACAAATCATAAAGCAAAAAGCATTAATATAAAAATCAGAAAATAGATTATAGCATTAAAAGTGAAAGTTGAGATATATAGCATCAGTAGGTATACCCAAAGTCTCACTAGACATTTCCATCGCTTCATGCAGTTTATTAGTTGCAAAATCGAGGTCTGCGAATAAAGAAAAAAATTCAAGTAGAAGGAAAATAAAAATTAACCATTAAAGTAGAAAAAGAGAACAATTTGCAACCTTATCAAATATGTCCAATCGAAAACTGTAATCATGCATGTATTGCCACAAATAATTCAAGTTAATCACAGTTAATAATAAAAATAAAATAATAAACTTACCGGTTTTAATTCGTTTTGCCTCCTCTGCAGTCACAGTAATGGTATATATTTCGTTAGTTTCTGCATTTCGCAGACTCACCGAAACTTTCTTTGATGCCATCTTTAAAAGGTTATGAATCGCTATATTCGCGCTATTATAGCGTTTCGTTTGAACAAAAAGCGCTCGTTAGCGCTTACGCTTTCGCTGCCCTACCTTTATGGAATAAGCGTTCGTGAGCAAAAGTTATGACGTCACGATGACGTCATTATTCGATCCGTGTGCGCTTACAACGCCAAAGCGAACGATATGTTAGCGAGACGCTACCGCGTCTCTTGATGTGTGCGTGCGTATACATATCAATGAATCTGGAACAATATGGCGTCTTGCGAACAAAGCGACATACGTCTAGCGGCGTATCAGTGAACCTGGAAAACGGCCTAGCAGCATAGCCTAGCGGCGTATCAGTGAACCTGGTCCATCTCATCCAGGAGAATGAGATGGACCAGGAGAATGAGATGAACCTAACCTAACCTGGACAAACATGGCGTCTCGAAAAGTGACACCTTTTTGGCCGAAAAATTCATATGAAATATCGAGATCTGTACATCAAGTGCATTTACCAGTGTCATTTTCATATTATTATATTCGGAAAAATCCATGTTCTCGATTAACATGTTCATCTCTCGAAAGGATGATCCGACGTACGAGATATTTCGAATTCATTCTCTAAAATTTTCAAAAAACGACCTCACTCCGGTAAATGATACACAGTAGCGTCTGTTTACAGTAAACGAAAAGACGACGAAAGATATACTTAGCGAGACGCTACCGCGTCTCTTGATTCATCCTTCCACCTTGCTCCCCTTACTCACATTTGTTCCTCCCTTTTCGCTCTTCCTATTCCTTTCCTCCGCTCCGATTCCTTTCTCTCTACTCTAACTACCCGCACATTTCCCTTCGAGCACATGCACTAACCACCTCTTTCCCAACCGCCATCTTTCCTCCTCCTACTTGCAGTTGTATATTAGCACAATTTAACCTTGACGATTATTCTTATATTTCGCCGTTTTGATATGTGTGTTTCGGATTCTGATATGTGGGGATGTTATCATCGCGAAGCAACTGCACATCGCCGTTTAAAAAATTTATATTACATTGCATTTTTTGTGCATTCAGCTACATCTCCACCTGGGGGTGATGTCATCGCGAAGCAGCCGTACATCGGCACTTGAATAGTTAGAAAAATTGAAAAGATATCGTGTCAGCAATAATCCCCACCACATTGCAATTTTGCAACGCTAATACATATTTTAAATATTTTTAATACATTCAGTATTGCATCGACCACTTGTGTGAAAGGTTCACATCAAAATGTGTCCCACTGAAGAAAGTCGCATGAATTATTATGTTCCGATTCAAGACGATGAAACTTCACCATGTAAGAAGAAGAAATGTAACAAGTAAGTTTTAATTAACGTAAAAAATTTTAGATTTTTTAGATATTTTTATAAATAATATTTTATTACTCTCAAGGCCCATCCGAGCCTCGTCGTGCGGTTCGTATCCTTGGAAGAAACGCAGAAGAAGATACGCCTCGACATCTTATAAATATTTCGACACTGGAATAAGAGTCGGGGTTGTATCTTGCGTAGAATTGGTTCTCGGCGACAATCGAGGCAATCAAATAGTATTGTTTTTTGAAACGTGGAAATCACTTATGCAGAAACGTGCGGACATTTCGAACGACTTCTACAATCGACTAAAACTCCATTGCGGATTCGAGATTTAACATTCGAAGTGGTTAAAATATCTGATTCGAATATTATAAAAATGGGATTATCCAATAATTCCTTATACATGAAACCACCAACTATATTATACTTATTTGATTTTGAAAAATCTATAGATCATATATATTACTGGCTGTGCGAAAATACGCATATTGTAAATGAAAAATTCAAACTATTTGTAAACATTTTACAATATAATAATATCGCTAATGTATGTGATGCTGCAAAAGCTATACGTGAAAATGATATGTTTGGCAGCAAACCACTCATACATTGCGAATTCTTAACATGTGCTGTAAATGACATTCTTAACGATGCTTGTAATAAATAAGTCATTTTACCATTTATCTATGAATTTAATTATTTCTCCCATCTTTTATGTATGAATAAAAACGGCGTAATAGATATGCGCAGTCTGCAAAACTTTATTCTTTTTCTCAACACACTCTGCTAAAGATGTAGAAAAATGTCACACACAAATATATCAAATAAAAACTTATATTAATATATTAAAAACTTATATTAATATATATAACAATTTAAAAAAGTGTCTATTATTTCTGCGCCTCTTTTTCTATACGCAAACGCATCGCGCTATCTTTGTCACATCGTCTTGCGTACCGCTCTCTCCAACGAGCATGCGAATGCCATTCTTTTCCTACGTGCATGCGACTGCTTCGCGCTATCCTTCTCCAACACGTTACGAACGCCTCGCGCTATCCTTCTTCCACACATTGCGGACATCGTATCTTCGCGTTCCTCTCCCCGCGGACCCCTCGCCTACCGGTTGCGCCGCGGTCCCCCTCTTCCCCGCGGACCCCTCGCCTACTGGATGCGCCGCGATCTCTCGTGTAACGTCATTCCTTCCCGCGCCGGTGTCCTGCCGCCCTGCCCCCCCCCCCCTCGGAGGGGGGTCATGACTTATAACTCTCCTAGCTATACTACTACTAGTCAACGATGCTCTATTCGCGCCCTATTCGCAAATCACGGCATCGCCGTTCGCGCATATATCCACCGCGCCGCATAACCATCGCGCCATTACATCTGTATCTTGCGCTCGCTATAATAATCACGGCCTCGTCGTACGCGCATTTAGCGCCGCGTACCGAATAACTGTCGCGCCTTTATATTTGTATCCTGCGAGCTATATTACCGCTATTATAATTGCGGAATCATCCGTACGCGCACATTATAATTCGCGCCGAACAACCACCGCGCTTTAAACAACTCGCATTGTAACATCCGCCGCAAGCCCGCTTAGCGGGATTTAACCTTTGTAAAACTGACTATTGCCGAAGGAGGCAAATAAAAGACCATTTGAACCATGCGTTGTTTGTCGTGTCTCGATTTTTCATGAATCCTGATCCCGATTGCGTTATCTGCGCACCGCTCGTAAAGCGGCCCGTTGCAACAACTTAGTGTACAAAATTTTGTGTAAGAATTGCGTCTTACGTTGGACAAACTTGTAGACAACTAAAGAAAAGCATTTCCGAACACCGAAATCACATATGTAAAAACACATCCTAGCTCTCGGTCATTACGAATCACAGACTTGAGTGTCCAATCACGAATTTGACTGAGATGGAGTTGAAATTTTGGGCGGCGAAACTTTGTTCAGTAAAAAGCTGGTGTCCGAAATGCTGTTCATTAAACGGCAAAAGAATGGCCTGAATCTGCAGAGTGATACAAAAGGCTTACTACGCATTTGCGACAATAGTAAAAAACTCATCAAAAATAAAAAAAACAAAAAAATTTATATAGAAATTTGAATTTGATTTTAGATTCGAAAATTTAGTTCGAATTTAAAAATTAATTAATCTTATCGCATTTACCTTTTCCACCATATTTAGTTGTATGACTTTGTTTTACGATTTGTTTTTGTGATTTGTACGTAATTTTTATATAGTGGAGATCTTGTGAAAAATGTAAAAATTGATCGATTGAGAAGCTTAAATTTGAGTTTGGTTTCAAAATTTGAATTGGATGTAAAGATTAACTAAACTTGCCGCATTGGCCTTTCTTTCATTGTTTTTGTTTTTTAACCTTTGTTTATCATCATCTTGATGACCGTATCTTATCGATCATGTCAACATTAGTCATCGTTATATTGTAAATCACCGACGATATACGTGTAGCGATGGCGTTCAGACATTGTCCACTTATTTGTACAGATTCTATGCAGGTTTTAGTGAAACCATTTTTTTTTATTATTAATTTTAATTTGAAATTTGACTGCAACTGCAAATGTTGTGTATATCAAGTTTTAAAATTCTAATCTAATTTTTATATATTTATATCTATTTGAGGCAAGAGTAATTAGATCTTTCCCTGGGTGCAATGTTGCGAAATATAACGTAAAGAGCTCGAAGGACCGTGAAAATTTGCGTTATAACGACTCACCGCGCGGTACCAACCTCGTGTTTCATCCGGAGCAAAGCCCTCCAGTATCAATAGTCTATCGAGCTGGTAAAACTGCATGCAAGACGAGACAGCAAGCTAGGCAAGGCAGTGCAGCAAGCAAGGCAAGGTAGTACCGCATGCAAGGCAAGGACGTTCCTCTTTCCCGTCCAACTGCCTCTTACGGGCGGTTGCTTCCGAGCACGTACCTCGGGCGAGTAAGCACAAGCGATATAACTATAGAGCTAAGAGCCTATGATCTAACACTACCGGCGCGAATGCCCGAAATCCGGGCGCGAAGCGACTCATATACTCTCGCTTCGTTAATAGCTACCGTCGATAAAAGGCGCTGGCAGCACCGATTAGTGAGTCTAATCGCGGAGTGGTACCCGTTTGACCACGTTAATATTAACCATGGTCCCAATTGACCACGTTGAGATTGCCCACGTTGCGATTGACCACGTTGATATTGACCACGTTGATATTGACCACGGTCCCGATTGACCACGTTCTGATTAACCACAGTCCCGATTGACCACGTTGATATTTACCACGGTTCCGATTGACCACGGTCCCGATTGACCACGGTTCAAATTGACCACGTTAATATTGACCACGTTAATATTGACCACGGTCCTGATTGACCACGGTCATGATTGACCACGTTGATATTGACCACGATTGCAAGACATCAATGGATCGCGATTTGATACATTTCCAATAGATCTCTCCCGATTGACCACGTTGAGATTGACCACGTTGATATTGACCACGGTCCCGATTGACCACGTTGATATTGACCACGGTCCCGATTGACCACAGTCCCCATTGACCACGTTGATATTTACCTACCACGGTTCCGATTGAAAAATCATGTAACACACACGCACGCACGCATGCACGCACGCACGCACGGTCAATCTGGACCGTGGTCAATATTAACGTGGTCAACATTAACGTGGTCAATATCAACGTAGTCAATCGGGACCGTAGTCAATATCAACGTGGTCAATCGGGACCGTGGTCAATATCAACGTGGTCAAACGGGACGCTCCCCTAATCGCGAGATCTATTGGAAATGTATCAAATCGCGATCCATTGATGTCTTGCAAAACAAACTAAATTTAAAGGCAACTATAAAGAATATAAAGTATACTAAGTTAAACAATTCTCTTAATTAATTCTAATACTACTATTTACAAAGAACGATGCACCAAACAATATCCATGTTGAAAAAGCGGTCCGAAACGTACATTTTTAATGCACATTAGTTAATAAAATTTAACGATAATAAGTTTACGTTCCGATACCCGTGCCTTAATTCTTATCTGCCAGTTTTTCTCATTTGATCATTTAAATTATGTTATTTATCTAATCATTAATTCTATGATCAATTCTATATGAACCAATTTTATATGGAGTGTAAATACGATATAACATATGTTATATTATATGTTACATTTATGAGTGGAAAATGACAATTAACAGTAATTTGCCGGTTATACAAGGTGGACCAGTAACTCTTGCCACTTGAAATATTTCCGTTACTTGTAATAATATGGGAAAATGTTATATACAAAAGTTTTGTGACTTCGACGGGGACATAAGATGATGTCATTGGTTTGACCTTGAATAGTCGTTTGCAAATCGCATGAAGGTCACTTTCGATTTATTAAATGGAAACATATCGTAATGCTTTTATGTACAGAATAATGAGACAAATCAATTAGTGTAAAAAAAATAATTGCCATATCCATATTATTACAAGTAACGGAAATATTTCAGGTGGCAAGAGTTACTGGTCCACCCTGTATATTGCAACGATTTTTCCCTTTTATCGCGCCCGAACGATAAGGACGCTCGCCGTCTCGATCTCTCCGTGGCGCGGATAGACGTCGCGCCGACGAACGGGAGCTAATTCGCCGAACGAAGGATGCGGGAACATCGGTGTCAAGAAAACGGATAATCGCCGATAATAACGTGCCGATGTAGGAACGGGATGTTAAGGATTCCGCACGTGCCGTGATGGAAACCTGGATATAACACGAAAATCAAAAATTGGGCACCAGATACGGTCTCTCACATATCAATTCGCCAAGCGCGATAAAATTATTCCGAACCCAAGATATATCGAAATCCGCCACGGGCTGGCTAGCTCGCCTAACGGTAGAGAGGCAGAGCGAGTGTTGGATTAACGCGTTTATTAAGCAAGAGACGGCAAATACCGGAGCGGCAAACACAAACTGTAAGTAAAGACGTTAAATGTAACAGAGAAAATAACAAGTTTATTATAATAGAAGGAGCTGAGGCACCTCGAGAGTAATAATAATAATGACCGCGCAGATATTCGGCTGCGGTAAAGACGTGGGTGCGAGACTGGGTGTCAGACACGGGGCGCGAAACCCCGGAAGACTTACGCCGAGATCGGCGTAATGTTATGCCGGCCGCACTTCTCTTTCGGCGTTAAATACGGCTCACACCGCGGAGATGACAATTAATACGTTTCAACTTCAATTCGGGCGATAGCCCGTTCCGGATCTCGATATAAGCCACTTAGAGGCGACCGTATCGCCCACTATTATTACTTAACTATTATTACGCAACTTATTTTAAACATGCAGCTCGCGAAACACGCACATTCTTTGTTTCCGAACAAACAAGAAAAGCATACACGACGTTCAACGCTCACTCACGCAATCCGTGCGATAATCGCGAGAGAAGCTCGTACAGAACGCGCACAGAATTTCTAGGCGCGACGATGAACAAACAAAGAAGAAGAGACACTTTACGCGATCGACACGGGAGCGTCCCGTTTGACCACGGTCCCGATTGACCACGTTGATATTGACCACGTTAATATTGATCACGTTAATATTGATCCTGGTCCGGATTGACCACGGATCAATACATGTCGTTACTAGGGCATGTACTTTGCAAGTTGTAAAGCGAGGTCCATCGTGCCTGACTGGCGGAGGGGGTGCGGGAGAAGGGGCCGAAGGCCTCCCTTGCACCCCCCCCCCGCATGTATGTGTGTGTGTGTGTGTTACATGGTTTTTCAATCGGGACCGTTGTCAATATAAACGTGATTAATCGGGACCGTGGTCAATATCAACGTGGTCAATCGGGACCGTGGTCGATGTCAACGTGGTCAATATCAACGTGGTTAATTGCAACGTGGTAAATATTAACGTGGTCAATCGGGACCGTGGTCAATCGGGACCGTGGTCAATCGGAACCGTGGTAAATATCAACGTGGTCAATCGGGACTGTGGTCAATCAGGACAGTGGTCAATTGGGATCGTGGTCAATATTAACGTGGTCAAACGGGTGCCACTCGATCGACACTCACACTCAGACGACAAGCATACGATACGAACGAGATTTACGCTCTAAACGTGCTAGAACCAACGCATACGCAGTATACGGAATCCGGATCTCCAGAGAGACGATACACGGTTTATTAAACGCGATGTCAATATCTCAATCCGCGAAAACCGTTACTCTAAAAACTCCGGGGCTCGAATCGCTTGATGACGTGGTCGTGACGCGAAAATTACACCAAAGAACTGAGCATAGCCCATACGCGAAAATACGAATTCACGGAGACGACGACAAAACGACGCAATACCGGGCGCAATCACGCGTGGCTCAATTAAGTGCGGGTAACCTTACCGTCGTCTCGATGGGGCAGCAAGGGGCTAGCCGTCCTCTTATCCCGGCTCTCTCTCTCGCAACGGTTCTCGGAGTTCCTTCCGCTCGCCACGACGTTCGATCAGTCGCTCTCTCGCCAGCTCACGAAAAACCGTCTTAGCTCTATGAATGCCCGCGCCAGTCTGACCCCAGGATTCTCGTGATCTAGAATCGATACCGCTGGGCCAGCCGGGATTGCGCACACGGGGTGCGTATTATCGCGACCAATTACGCGCTACCACGCGCTGTGGCTGGCGGGCGGCGCGCTCAAGATTGTATAACGATGCATAACGATAATATGCATAACGATAATATATTGGGGCCCGCTCAGCGGAGCCATCGTGGGTTCCAGGTAGGACATCTTGATCGGAAGTGTTGTTGCAATCTTCGCTGCTGTCTTCTCCTGCGCGCTGCGCCCTGCAGCGGCAACGTTTCTGCAGTGCCTCTAAGGGGAACGGCTCGGCACGGTCCTGGGTTCTTGCGCGATGCACTCGCTGTCTCGTGCGTCGCGCATCACGCGCGCAGGGGCCATATTCTTAAAAAATATCGCATACGATATTTATCATTGCGCAGTTATTTTCCGATACGTTTTAACTGCGCAATGATAAATATTGTATGCGATATTTTTCAAGAATATGGCCCCAGGTCATGATCACGACGTGCCAAAAGATCTGTCGTTAGCTGTTTTGAAATGCCGGCTCATCTCTTCTTGAAGGTCACTCGAGATCGTCGATAATTAAATTAAGGAACAGAATCTCGATTAATAACGTCTTTCTGGAGACTGCGGTACGGTTCTCGCAATTTTTCGACTGGCGCGACCTTTCAGCGCTTTGCGATCGGAGAAAGATCCGGCAAACGCGCGCGAGATGGCAACGTTACAGTATATTATTTGTAATATTTCGTTTTATTGCTCTTATATAACATTAATATAACAGTGTTCACTAGGTTTATTATTTAATAAAATTTATAAATATCATAATATGCCCGTATTCTGAGCAGTATATAAGTCTGCATCTGTCTATTTTTGTCGTCATAGTTGTAAAAAGTATGAGTACAATATAAGCTCAAAATGCATATATTTTTTAATCTGGATCATAACATGTTTGCGTTCTGACAATGAGTAGCATATAAACCCGCATCTGTGTCTATTTTTGTCATGTTTATAAGAAATATGAGTACAATATGAACTCAGAACGTGCATATGTTTTTCTATGTGGATACATAAGATATTAACTAACTTAAGATAACTGTAAGAATAAAACACCAAACAGTCCCGATGCTTATGATATTTTAATAAGGTAAAGAAGAGAAAAATGTGTTCAACAGCTTTTTTTCTTTTATTTGTACCTCCAATAAAATATATCTTATAAAACTCTTGCACTTTTTTTCTTCCTTGGTTTCTTTCTCTCTCTCTCTCTCTCTCTCTCTCTCTCTCTCTCTTTTCTCGTTTATATCTTCAATACGAGGATAATATGCTTTCATTCTGAAATTATTGAGATCGAACTTTTTATTATTTTGGTATTACTATTCTGTTCTAATCGACACTTACAGAATGAAAGTGCTATGTTCCGTTTTTCATTTGCTTTCTTATTCTATACATGTTTATGTTGTTATATATAACAAGATAGTGGTGCAAGAAAGAATTTAAAGAACATTTACTCAAATCCCGTAGAAAAATTTTTTGAGAATTCTCTAATTTTCAAGATATTTCAAAATTCCAACTAAAATTAGAGAATTTTTAAATGCAATTTTGAAATTAGTATTAGGTGTACAAATAAGTTTCCGCCGTTTTTTATCAAAAACTGGGCATTTATTGTGAAAGAACGGAACCTAATGTTTTATTTGAAGTATTGTCCATCGCTTGCCACTACTTTTTCCCATCTTTCTGGCAGCATACGGATACCGCGTCGGAAGAATGCTTCATCTTTTGAGGCTATCCACGAATCGACCCAATTTTTGGTATCTTCATATGATGTGAAGTGTTGCTCAGACAGGCCATGCGCCATCGATCTAAACATGTGGAAATCAGAAGGAGCAATGTCTGGTGAATACGGCGGGTGGGGTAAAACTTCTCAATGAAGTGTTTCCAAATAGGTTTTGATCGGCGCCGCAACATGTGGACGAGCATTATCATGCAGGAGAATAACTTTGTCGTGTCTGGAGTAGTGGGCGCGCTTTTCCTTGAGTGCTCGACTCAATCTCATCAATTGTGTTCGGTAGACAGCCCCAGTAATGGTTTCGTTCGGTTTGAGCAACTCATAATACACGACACCAAGATGATCCCACCGAATGCATAACAAGAGTTTTTTTCCATGAATATTTGGCTTAGCTGTAGATGTTGAAGCATGGCCAGGTGGTCCCCGTGATTTCTTCCTTTTTGGATTATCATAGTGGATCCATTTTTCATCACCAGTGACTATACGGTGCAGAAAACCCTTTCGTTTATGTTTGGCAAGCAGCATTTCACATGTGAACAATCGGCGTTCAACGTTTCTCGGCGTCAGTTCATATGGAATCCAATTTCCTTGTTTTTGAATCAATGATTTCAACCGATGTGAAATTGCTTGTTGAGTCACTCCCAATGTAAGTGCAAGTTCTTCTTGCGTTTGGCACGAATCTTGATCCAATAATGCTTCCAATTCCGCGTCTTCATACACTTTCGGCCTCCCGCTACGTTCTTTGTCTTCGATGTCAAATTCACCGTCCTTAAACTTTTGAAACCTCTCACGACAACTTCTCTCACTTAAGGCAGCCTTATCATATGCTTCTACAAACAATCGATACGCCTCAGCTGCAGATTTCTTCAAATTGAAAAAGTAAATCAAATGTTTCCGCAAATGACGCTTATTCGGCTCAAAATTCGACATTTTCGCACACAAAAGAATATATTATACTGATAAAAAATCACTATCACATGTTATTGACTGATGTCCAATCTTACGATAAGGACGTTTTACATCTGACAATTTTAACCATAACCCACTGGTGGCGCCAACTTTTGTCAAACGGCGGAAACTTATTTGTACACCCAATATATTCATGCGCTTTATAAAATGTTTTCTAATCATACAGTTAAAAAGAAAAAATAAAGAACCATTTAAATATCGAATATTTGATTTTTAAGTACTAAAAAGAATTGAAGAGAGAGATGGCTTTTAAAATAAGTATTTTCTATTTTGCATAATTTCTTTTCATGATTTTATTATCAAGAATTACAATGAAACAGGATTATAATGAAGATCATGTTCCGCAAATTCGCAAATCACATATGGATATGCTGCCGTATCGCTTTATTAATTAACAATTTAGCCGATCAGTGGATTGCTGATCATTTACAATAAAAATAAAAAGGCAAAATCATCAAAGAAATAACTTTTTTTTAATTCTTCAGTTCCAATAAAAATCCATGAAAATTTCCTTTAAGTTTCTCCAAGGAAAAAATATTTTTTGAGGATTCTTGGGAATACATACTTTTCGAGTTTTGAATACTAGTTGATGTAGAATAATAGTCAGAATAATGCGAGATAGAATAAGAACATTCTATCATAGATTTTAGTGATCATGTCTAGTTAATTATTATTGCTTCTAGCAATATTAATGATATAGTCAGCAATTTCTCTTGCTTTTTTGAAGAACTATATATCACTTGCATAAATATATTATATTAACTCGTTGCACATTAACAAATATTAAAATGCCTTAGAGCGTACCCAAAATATTTTCCTTTGTGACTATATTTTAAATATTATATATAATTAAGATATATAATACATATGTATATATATATGTATATCAGCTCACAAGAGTATAATAGTCATTGGTATTAAAATATCTTAATATACCAATTAATATACCTAACAACCTTAAAGAACATACGTATGTTACTCTAATAGACTAGGAATGTTAATTATAATTACATAATTAAATATGTATTTGTGTGTGTCCGTGTGTGTAACTCGCTTTTTTCTTTTTCTTTTCTCTATTTTTTCCTTTTTCTTTTTACTTTTCTCTCTTCTTCTCTATTTCATTTTTCCTCTTGCCTTTTTCTATCTTCTTTTTTTCTTTTGCATAAATTTGTAATAAATTCTACAATGTAATAACATTATCTATTAATTGAATTGTTACATCTACACTGCCCTGTTGCAGCAACATTGGAATATATTCGAGATGTAATATGAGGTAGAGATCCGAGAAGATTAGCACCCCTCAGAGTACCAGCAAAACCGCTTTTTCCTAAGAAACTGTGAGTACATTTATAAAGGCGAGTTTGCAGAATTAGCACATCGTCGAGATCTTGTTCGCTGTAATGTAATCATATTATTTATAATTTATCGTATATTTAGATTACATTAAAAATTTATATAATTTTTCTATATTTATATATTCTGTACATTCTCAAATATAACATAAAAAATATTTTTTCCATATTTTAGATAGAAGCGAGAAATTATAGCTTTTCTATCACATAATCTCACAGCAAATCGAAAAAAGAGAACTATGCATTAAAAATTTATCGACACATATGTACATACATGCATACATATATGTATGTATATATGTATATATATATATATATATATATATATATATATGCAATGTATACCTTGCTGCAGCTAAAAACTTCTGAAAGAGTTTATTGGAAACAGTACGAGGCCGATCTACCGTATCTTCATAAAGATCCGTTTCTCTGTTATATAGATGCAAAAAATCGGAAAGTTGTTTTGCGGTAATGGCAGCTCGATCTTTCGTACTCAATTTATTGCATGGTAACTACGGAAAAAAATATTACTTCAAATATAAATTATCTAGTTGATCCAAAATTAATATTTCTCATTTATAACAAAAATATTATATTATCGGGTTATGATAACTTGATACGTGCGTGCGTTGTTTGTGCGTGCATGTATACGGATTGATTGTGAATCATCACATCTTATCATTCCTAATAAATCTTGATGTACTTTATAATAATGAAATTCGATTTTTCAAAAATGTGAAATTTTTCAAATCCTCTGAATTTCTGAAAATTTAAAAATTTGTCTAATAACAAAAATTAAAATACATTTAACGACAAATTCAACCATATATGACTGTTGTGTCTCTGTGGAGACACGGAGATTGGCACGATTACAATAACTGCGGCCCCCTATTTGAAAGGTCGTTTCTGAAAGCATTTTTATATCTCGAAAACTATTGATCGGAAATTTTTTTTACTATTTTTCCCGTGTTTCTCGTCAAAAATGTCTTTAGAAACAATCTTTCAAATAGGGGGCCGTAATTATCGTAATCACCTCCGGAGATTTTCTTGGGGTCATTGGCCAATTTAGAACTGGGAAGTTTGGGATCTTCTAGACTTTTCGCCAATTAAATTAGACTTGTAGTCTTATTAGAATAAAAACGTTTATTTCAAGATATTAGCTTTAAATCTTCTTTTCTTCCTTTCTCTACAATTGTTTGGCTTATCGCGGTATAGAGTTACTCCGCGTACGCGTGCCTGATAGCATGTTTGTCTTCACTATTTAGTAATTACAACTGTTCGTCTCGTGATTGCTTTCTTTTACAAGTTCGACTGCCCTGTATATATTAACGATTGTGATTGCCCGCCGCTTATTAGCAATGGGTGTTTTTATTGTCTTTTTTTCGATTAGTTTTCGGAGGGGATAGCTTAGCGACATGATCATATATGGTCGTATCGCTCGTTTCGGATGGGAAGGCTCAGATACAAGCTAAGGAAGTTCGAAGTCGAATTTCTTTGCTTGCGTTCCGGAGTGTCTTCCTTCAAACTTTCGCGATCGCGTAGCTTCCGCGTGTGGTTCGCTCCGTCAGCGTCTCGCGCTCGTAACATTATACGCCTTCCTCGGTTTCGAGTTATAATCGGAAGGCGTGTATTAAATAATATTTAATAATTTATAATACTAGTAATTAAAATTATAATAATTTGGTTAGAGCCGTTTTGGGCTATAACATGATAATGTTATTTTTCGAAAACGCATCTTTCAGAAATGAACTAGAAACACCCCTATATCGCTAATATATGTATACGCCTTATTCGTATCCATCTTATGGTGTTTGCTATTCATGATAGCAGCTCTTTCTTTGTAATCTCGCAGAAATAACGACGAAAGCAATTACGGCAAAAAAAAATTTGGTAAATATGCATATTAGGGGAGTCATTCCCAATGACCTTGATCTTGACACATTTTACAGCCATGTATTGTGTTCCCGTGCCGCGATGTTATGCTGCTCGTTGCGGTGAAAACAATGTTCATCTCCGAGACGACTGTTTTGCGAATGTTTTGATCAATAAGGCCAGACATATTAGATTTAAATTAGCTGTCGACCTGTTCGAGCGCGTTATTGACAGATCCGCTCTTTTTAACTATTTTTTGTGTTATCTTTGTGTTCCTATTACATAATAAAGTTTCTAAAGTGTTTTATAAAGCGAGTATTTTTCATTTTGTGAGTGCTGTTTATGTCGCGCGCGTTCAGTAGCTCGATATCGATCTGCGGACGTAACAATATGTTGTCAAGGTCATGATCCTAGTTGTGAGTAACATCCAAGAAGTTTTAGCCGTCGTTCGTTGTTCATTTAAAAGTTATTAACAATTAAATTGTACAATAATAACAAGTATTAAATGCGATAATCTAAACTTCTCTGAGTATGAACTTTATATTAGTTGTATCATAACTCAAAAAATAATAACGCAATTACGACCTAAAAAACTCAAAAGGAGCGCAGTACAAAATAAGCATTTCGCGCGCGCTGCAAAATCGCGATTAATGCAAACTAGACAATTCGTTGCAAATTTGCAATTAAGACATTACGGCACATTAATCGAAAAGCAACTCACTTTTGGATAATAAAAACAGAGGTAACGAGTACCTCAAGACCGTACTTTAAAAATAGTCAGTAAATAATAAGCACGAAATCAGAATGAGACAGTTATAAGTTAAGTTTAAGATATTGGATAAGGAATAGTTATTAAGTCATAATTTATTATTTAGTCATAAGATTCAGTGGTGAGATTTGGGTTGAGGATGTGTGCATATGCGTGCGCATGCGCGTGTGTGCGTGCGTGTGTGCGTGTGTGTGTGTGTACGATAATTTCTTTATTAATATTTTACGACAAAAATTATACAGGGTGTCCGATAATTTTTGACACACCCGAAGTATGAAGGTAGATTGGCTCAAACTGAGAAGAAAAGTCTTGTACCATTTTGCGATTTTCGTAATAATTATTGAGAAATTAATTAAAAAAGATCGACCAATTCGCGCGAGTATAAGCGCGCAGCGAGAAGAGACGACCCAAAAGTAGGCGCGCGACAAAGTTTTGGGAGGAGTTCAATACAAATGACAACAATTACGTACGAGTGGTATATAACGATGGATTCACGCGTCCTCTAGCAACGACATATCAATGCCGCCCATATCAACTGGATACAGATTCTTTCTTATCGCGCGGTAATACTCGCGTGAATTGGCCTATATTTTTTAATTAATTTCTCAATAATTATTACGAAAATCGCAAAATGGTACAGGACTTTTCTTTTCAGTTTGACCCAATCTACCTCCACCTTTCGTTTGGTCACTTACTTGTCAGACACCCTGTATAAACAAGTATAAGATTGTATAAATATATTTATGTAATATAACGTATATATATTTTTTACATATATATGCTATAAAAATCTTTATGACAATTCATTATTATTTACAGCTATTTATGAATTTATGATTAGAAAAAAGAAAATTAGATATATTTAATCCATTGATGTTATAAAATATGTATATAAATGCACATATAAATGTGTATATAAAAATATATACCTTTATACAAGGTGTCTCAAAGCACCCTTGACAACGCTCGTGAGCAAGTAGAGCACAGTAAACTGAACAGAAAAGTCCTGTACCATTTTTTTTATAACGCTTAATAAAGGAGTTATTATTGAATAACGTCTGGCCAATCAGCGTCGACCTTTAGCCGCGCGCCTGGTAGTGTGCGTGAGCGTTCCGTCGC